AAAAAAAAAAAAAAAAAAAAATACTGTGGGGTACCTAAAGAGAAGTCTGGGTTAGGGGAGTTGTAGCACAGTGGTTAAAACATGAGCCTGGGGGGAATAAAGTTAAAAAAAAAGTGTGGAGCAGACTGACTACTTACTAGAAGTGTGTCTCTGTGTAACCCACTCAGCCAAGGGAGTGGGGAAGATGGACGTGGCTGCCCTCCTTCACCAGACCAGGAGGGTTAGACCCTAGCAGCTGTTTGGACTGTGTAACCCTATCCACCTGGCCAGCCCCGATTGGACCGGGGGTGAGCCTCTGACTGGAGCTGGGCCAATCAGATCATCTGTCTTGGAACTCAGGTTTGGAAATGAGCATCCTTCATGGGTCTGGTCTGTTAGCTGAGGTGGGAGAGGAAGGGACCTGGGGGTGGCCGGATAAGGGGCCGTGTGGGCAGTTCAGGTGCCGGTGAGGTATTGCACTTCCTGCCCTTCGGTTCTACCCATGAGACACCTGCGTGCTTTCTGATAAATTCTTCTTTTTGCCGAGCCATTATTAAATTGGTATCTGTAACATATGACCAAACAAATACTCCCTGATCTAGATCCCACCCTCCCATGATTACTGTGAGGGTTGAAGCAGTGACCAGCCGCAAGCAGCCCTCATACCATTGCTACTATTATTAATGGACTCCACCTCCCCTTCTGATCTGCAGTAATGATATAGTGAAGACATCATCTCTGTCCTCAGGGAACTGACCATGTGGTTGGGGAGTTCAGGCAGGTACGTGTGAAGTGATTGTCAGCAGTCCAATCTGAGATGAGCCCTGGAGCCACCAGTCTCCTTTGGCTGTTTTTATTTATTTACTTATTTATTTATCTATTTCTTTATTTATTTTTGGCTGTGTTGGGTCTTCGTTGCTGCAAGTGGGCTTTGTCTAGTTGCGGCGAGCGGGGGCTACTCTTCGTTGCAGTGCGTGGGCTTCTCACTGCGGTGGCTTCTCTTGTTGCGGAGCACAGGCTCTAGGCGTGCGGGCTTCAGTAGTTGTGGCATGTGGGCTCAGTAGTTGTAGCGCACGGGCTTAGTTGCTCCGTGGCATGTGGGATCTTCCTGGGCCAGGGATCAAACCAGTGTCCCCTGCATTGGCAGGGGGATTCTTAACCACTGTGCCACCAGGGAAGCCCCAAAAGCCCCTTCTTAAAAAGGTTCTCTTAGCAGGCTCCTGGCCACCTTGCTGTCCCTTCCACAGTGGATTCTGCAGAGCTGTGTAGTGGTCATCTGGTTCATCCTTCGCTGGACTGTTGGAAGAGGGCCCAGAAGCACCCTTGCAGGTACTGATTGAGTTCCTTCCCTGTGTTGCTGCCACGTACATAAGCCAGACATGGTCCTAGTACTAATAATGTTTTTCATTTTCTGTATCTTATGATGTGTTTTTTTTTACATTGAAATTTTATTTTTATATTTACTTATTTTTAATTGAAGTATAGGTGATTTACAATGTTGTGTTAGTTTCAGATGTGCAGCAAAGTGATTCAGTTATACACACACACACACACACACACACACACACACACACACACACACACATATACTGAGTATAGTTCCCTGGGCTATGCAGTAGGTCCTTTTGGTTATTTATTTTATATATAGTAGTGTATATATGTTAATCCAAAACTCCTAATTTATCCCTCCCTCTCCCTGTCCTCTTTGGTAACCATAAGTTTGTTTTCCATGTCTGTCTCATGAAGTTTTGACATCTTAAAAGTCTTGCTGGCTTGGGAGATTCTAGCCAATTCTTAGAGATAGGTGAGGGAGCACACCTTTCATATGCAAACCAGCCCATCCCCAGTCACCTTATGAGAGGACATGCCTGCCTTCATATGGTTCTCTAATTTCTTGTATCTGTTATATAACTCTCACACACCACACCAATATTTTCTCTGCCCTAGGTTATCCCAGGGCCAGGCAACTAGAGTGCACCCCTTTTTCCAGAGCCCACTGGAATTATTCACACTAGTCAATCCTAAACTGTTTACCCTGCACTGCCTTGCCTTTCCTGAAAAAAAACCCAATAAAGACTCTGTCCTAAGCTTTCCTCTCACTCCTGCTTCTGCCTCCTGACCACCCTGGTGCTCCCCATGTGGTCCTGCATGCTATGGTGTGCCCCCTTCTCTCAGGAAATGTAAGTAATAAATTCTCCTCTCAACGGCATTGGCCTCTCCTTGTTGTCACTCGGTCACCTCCATAAATTAAAATCCCATGGGTACAAATGAGACAGTCTGTGCTTGTAGGAGCTCACAGTGTCCTGAAGGGGACAGACATTAAACAGATACAAGAAATTAAAGAACTATATGGAGGTGTGTGCAATCAAGGAGACATATAGGATTCTGCAAGGCTCTTAACCCTCCAAGATGCCAAGATGAATGTCCATGGATTTTGCCTCATCAGCATCTCTTCCCCAGATATTGCTTTGAGCATCACCCGTCCCCACTCCCAGTTGCTGGTTCTGTGGCATCCACTCCCCAGGTTTCTTGCATTTGGTGCAATTCTCAGGCCTGCCGATTTATGCACCCTACTCCCCCACCCCCCACCTGCAGTCATTGGCTCAGGGACAGGCATGTGACTCAAACTAGGCTAAGGAGAGTCAGCTGGTACCCAACTCAGCCACTGCACAGAGAGAGATCAGTTGGGAATAGAGCCAACGCAGAGGAGTAATGTCGTAGTTTCAGAGCCTAGAGGTAGCTTTTGGTCCTGGCTGTAACCCTGGTTTGCTAGTTATGATGTCCAACAAACTCCCTTTTTGCCCTAATTGAGCTTAACTGGGTTTCTGACAGTGAAATCAAGCATCCTGACCAGTACAGGGAACTGGCCCTAATGGGGCGGGGGAGGGTGTGTATGTGTCAGGGAAGGGTTTCCCGTAGAAGTGGCAGTTAAACTGAGAAGTGAAAGATGACTAGGAATTAGCCAGGTAGAGAGGAGGGAGAGAGCATATTCTAGACAAAAAGAGCAGCATGAGAGAAGGTAGGAAGAACAAAGCTGTAGGAATCTGCTTGCTTTCATTACCTTGCATGTGTTCTATTATAGCTATAAACACCTTTGATGAATAACCTTTAATAAATAAGCTCCATGACCCTTATTAACAGTAATGTCCATTTATAAAGTACTTTAAAAAAAATTATTATTATTATTATTTTATTTATTTATTTATTTTGGTTTTGCTGGGTCTTTGCTGCGGCAGGCAGGCTCCTTAGTTGCGGCTCACCGGCTTCTTAAGTTGCGACACGTGTGCTCCTTAGCTGCGACTCACTGTCTCCTTAGTTGTGGCATGCGTGTGGGATCTAGTTCCCTGACCAGGGATCTAACCTGCGTCCCCTGCATCGGAAGGTGGATTCTTAACTACTGCGCCACCAGGGAAGTCCCTATAAAGTACTTTATTGTTTGAAAATGTCTCGTCATTTGATATGTCATGATTTATTGAATATATTTGGTTCCACTCTCACGAACCCCTGACTGGGCCTGCTATTCAGGCTGATTTTCTGCTTTGCACCCAGACTTTTGGACCTAAAAGACTGACTCAGAAGCCTAGAAGGATTGGGGACGGCTTTGAGAGAGTGGGGGGAGGTGGTCTGGGGCCAAGGGCCAGTTTTGCCTGACGATGCAGCTGCCATGAGAGCTGAGCAGTGCGGCTCTGGCTCAGAGCAGCCATTCATCAGCTCGAAAAGAAAGACGAATTTGTCAATCTTTGGCTTTGCCTTTGACCCCTAGAGAGCTGGAACTGAGGACTCTGGAAATTTGGCCGCCACCCAGGGCCAGCTCTCAGTTACAGAATCAGTGAGCCTGCCAGAGTGTGCCGGCAGATGCGAACAGGAATCTCTGCAACGTCAATTACCTTTCCTTCTCCCTCCACCTCTTCCAAACCCTGTTCCCATCACCAGATTATTTATCTGAGGGAAAAAGGAGGGAAAACCGAGTTCATTTTGTGTTACTTCTTTGCACTCCATCTTGGGCCAAGAATAGCGAGCAGGGGGCAGGATGTGAACATCCCTTGTGTTACTAAAATTTGTTGTTATTTATACTTGCATTATATGATTTAACTTTGACTCCCCAAGTTACAAACTCTTTGGAGGGAAGAATCGATCGTGCACATTTTTGTAGGACCCATAGCAGCTCACACAATGCCTAGCCCTAAGTAGGATCTTTGATTCTTAAACCAATGACTTTTTCTGAACTCGTCGCCGTGCTAGAAAAGGCCCACAGCTGAGACCCAGGCTGGAGGATAGCCTGGTCCCCATTTGGGGGTCAAAAGAGTAGAGCAGGCAGGGGTCGCTGAGTCCTAATGGGTTGGACCCAGACGTTGGCAGGGAGACTCTGGGCCTCTGGGGACACTGAACCTGCACGGGAGTCTGGCCCAGACCTGGCCAGGTGGCTCCTGCCGTCAGGGGCTGCTGAGTCTCAGGTAAGGGGACAGGTCAGGTCAGTCCCCGGCCTGGAGCCTCTGGGAGGGCAGGGAGCACTGGCCAGGTGACTCAGCCAGCAGGGGCTGCTGAGACCCAGATGGAGGGACGGAGCGGGGATTGGTCCCAGGCCTTGCCATGAACTATAGCCCATCAAGGGGCTCTGAATCCTGGGTGGCGTCAGTTATAGGCCTGGCATGGAGGCTAGAGTTTGGGTGGGAGCTCTGTGTTCCAAGTTGTTAGGGGGCATGCCAGGCTCTGGGCAGGGGAGGGCACTGAGCCCTGGATTGGGGTGTCAGTCCCAAGCCAAGGTATGGAGACTACAGGCCAGCAGCGGGGGGTGGGGGGAGGTGGCTGAGTCTCGGGGGAGTCTCGGTGGCTGGCTTTCAGCCAGCAGGGCAAGCTGAGTCCTGGTTGGGATCAGACTCAGGCTTTGAGCTGGAGACTCGGGTTCCACGGCAGAGGAGGCTGAGCCTGGGGTGGTGTCCAACTCCAGGCCTTGGCGTGGAGGCTCCGCGCGGGCGGGGGACGCTGAGTCCCAGGTGCAGGCCGGTTGTGGGGGGTGGGGTCGAGGGGGTGGGTCCCTCGCCCTGGCTTGGAGACTCCGGGCCGGCAGGGGGCGCT